TACAACTATAAATATAATTTTTATGTTCATTAGGAAACTCCTAAGAAATAGATTGCAAAAACTAGTTCATGTAAATACCTCGGTCCCTTATTGCAATCGCCAAGCAGCTTACATAGTAAATTGTGTTTCAATTGTAGGGTGCGATTAGGCAGTGAAATTAGAGGATGAGAGATATGATATACTATAATTCTATAGAAGGCCAATGCAATATTAGTATCACGGGTGTCACTTGGTAACGTGATGTCCATAGTGACATTCATGTATATAGATAACGTTACCTCTTACCATCAAATTGGTTATCAGCTTGTTTTCTATTCCCATTAAGTAAAAAAATATCATGTCTACCCTACATCAATTTAATGAGGCAAAACTTGATGTGTTTACTTCCACAACTTGAGTTTCACTCATTATAGTATCTAGTAAGTAGGTCAATGTTATTAAATCTGCATAATAGTTCCACGGACAACAACAATACTACGATTTTTTAAGAAGATATGTTTCTGGTATTCCTTTCTATGTTCGACGACATATTTATTATATTAACATTTTCTTAATTCGCTTCATAATTGTCTAGTAATGAACATAGTTTCAAATCTTATTAGGTTGATTTTATATTTAATTTTAACTTGTATCAAAAGCGGTGTATGTTTAATAGTAGTATGACAAGTAGTAATAGTTAAATAGTTATGTTTCTGTTAGTTTATTTGTCGCCAAATATAAGCAAATCTGTACGTTTTATTCTTAAATAAAATTTTCAAAATTTATTTATTTATTTGTTTTCTTATGTTAGAATACATAAGAAGACAAATAAATAATTTTTAGACCTAATGCTGCAGTCTTTCATATTATATTGATTCAAATGTTGTTATGCCAAAATGTAGGTGAATAATGTCTATGAATTAACTAAAACGTAGACATTATGTTTATGATAATAATAATAAACTTTATTTATAAATGTACGGTACAATTAAATATAGTTAGCCCTGCCTTTCGATATAGGTGAACCTGTGCCACGAAAGAAATTTCCATCCAACATTCTGTAAACACTTTTGGTACATTTGCAGTTGTATACATAAAGGAATGAAAACAAAAACTTAAATACTTTTGAATAATAATACTTGTATATTTAAATTTATTTAATATTCTCATAAGAAATTGAAGTGTTGATTTACAATTTAAAGAATGTTATTCCAAGTACGTATACATTAGTGACGCCGCCGCGCAACAAACACAACCTTAAAAATATGATGACAAATTTTCTATTAAAGAACTGGATTGTAGATTTTTACGAATAAGAAACTGTAATTTGTTTTTAAAATAAATAAAAAACATTTATGTTTTTATACATATGGGGGTAATGTTATGCAAAAGAAACCCAATAACTTTTAATCATATAAATATAAATTTACGTCATTCTCAGGCAGCAAAGAAAAGGGTGTCTAAAATGAGTCAATTCGAACTTTATGTACAGCTAAAAGGTTTGATCTGGCACTTTGTGAACTTTTTATTCCTTCAAAGTACTAAAATCCGTGTAAAAATGTCACTTATTTCAATACTTACTTCACGCCCTTGCAACATAAACTTAAGTATTTTAATAAAGTATTTTAGGCTTGTGACATTTAGATAATTTGAATTCATTGCGAAGTTAGGTTTTATTAAAAATATATACATGTATGGTATAAATATATAGGGCCTGCCTCGGTGGTCTAGCGGTTTAACACACCGCTTTATTTCTAATGGTTGCGGATTCAATTCGTCGCACCGTACTTTAGTGTATTATGTTCTTTAGTATAAACATTTGTATTCATGAGTATGAATTTCTGTATCAATCTTGGTGTTTTCTATGTATATTATGTATGTATTTACAAAATAAATGTCTAAGTATTTATACTAATTTTCTAGTACCCATAATACAACCTCTGCTTACATTGGACTAGATGATGTATGAATTATCCAGGGGTATTATAATTATATATCTTAAGAAAATCAATTATCTCGTTACTTTCTCAAATTGCAAATCAATGACATGATTTTCAGATCTAAAATTCTGCAGGTAACTTAAATTAGTAATATCTTATGCTAACCATAAACAAAAGCATAAATATGTGATCTCTAAAAATATAAAGCGACATCTAACTGACTAATTAATCAATTCACGGCCTAAATAATAAAAGTTATACATTAGATTTTTTTAATATAAATTACTTTTAACATTGAAATGAATGTAGTAGAACTGGTTTCACGTCAGCAACATTAGCTGATAATGTTATATAACAAAAAGGTTAAATTATATATTACTATATACAATAAAGCGGGAGTTTATTTGTAGCTTTTTGGCTTGAACTACTGTCAGAACTGACAGTATATTATTATATATTCTTAATTGCCCAGATAAAACAAAGATATTATAATTTGGAGACAATGTGAGCAAACGTGGACTTTATATTTCACTTATCAAAAGTGTTGTGTGTAATTAAAATATCTTTATTTATGTAGGTTATAAATAAAGATATTTTGATTTGATTTGGTAAGGTTGAATCACTTACATTTCTACTCTATTGTATAACTTATAATCAAACGTGAGGTAAATTTTAAATAATATGCATACACAAATGACTATATACAAATGACTGAATACTTACAGATGAAATGCCGCGAAGTGCCCACAATAGGGAAAAGTCAATTCTATATCTGTTCAATGGATTTATTTAATCAATAGCTTCTTCTATATAATAATGTACAAAGTGATTTCCTTTTAATACGTAAAAGCTCTTAGGTAATTTGCCAAAGTGATGAGGTACGGTAAACGTAAACCGCAACATTGAAAATGTACAAAAAGCAACCAACTTTAGCACATACAATGCAAGGTAGCGACTTGCCAGTGGACACCATTTAATTTATTTTATACTGGTATAGCTCTCTCTCCAAATGTATATGCGCTATTATGTATATTTGTAGTCATATATGTATATTTATTTTTGTTTATTACGTGCGCCACCTACCCTTTTCTAATTTTTACATTCTCTATCCACCAAAAGGTAGTCTGGAAGAGATTGCTTATTTTTTTTTATTCTGTAATTGATGTGGAGAACTGATTTGGAGAGTTAGTTCAGTTTAATAAAAATATATAATATTTATTTGTGTTAAAATAACTGTAAGCGAGAACATTTCTTAATCATCATTGCCTTACCTTTATCCCATTATTTGGGGTCGGCGCAGTATGTCATTCTTTTCCACTGCTCTCTATCGGTGGTCATATCTGAGCATACTCTTCTTTTATTCGTATCATCTTCCACACAATCCATACATCTTTTCTTAGGGCGTCCCCTTCCTTTACATCCAACCACATTCATATTATACACTTTCCATAAGACATGATCCTCGCTTCTGTTCGCAAATGTTAATACTACATTACAGTACGTCGTCAGACTCGCTTATAGGAAGATCGTCTTCCTTCCTCATAAGTGCAGGAGTTATGACAATCAGAAGAAAAAATAAAAGTAAAGTAAGCTGTTTGCAGCAGAATTAGGTGAGTTTCTCCTTAATATACCTTCACTAATAGTAGTCCAGTCGCAAGTTATACTGAACACAAAATGTACTAACATTTCATTAGATATGTGTTTCAATCATTATGAGAATCAGTCAAATATACAAATTTAGACTCAAACTTTATTGGTTTCAGTCAGATTTAAACTCATAATTTTTTCAGACCTATATCGAGCTTGTATCACTAGGTCAAGATGCTCTCAATATATCTTGCACAAATATTATGCATATTTTATTTATACTAGTTACACCTAAGCTTAATCTTTAAAGATAAATAAGGTATAATATAGTTTATGTTATGAATAGATAAGTTAGTTTATGAGTCCTTTTTGCCCTACTATCTAAGACGTCATCTTACAAGTATCTCTTCAATATTTTCGCTCACGCCTCCTATATCCTCCATCTTTCATCACACTTTCGACATGTCCAATAATTCAGTACACATTGGCGCTGGACATTTTTAGAAGCTATTTTAAAAGCCTTTAATATTTATACAGGGTAGCAGCATAGATTGGTTACATGATATGATCACAGATATGGATAAAAAAATTTGTAATTTATTAGCCTTAAATTGAGAGTTATAAATTTAGATTAAATGTCCTTCGAAAAGAATTATGGCATAAAGAAATAAAAAGATAATATATGTAAAATAAGCAATATAAAATTGTAAGGAATTAAACGAGCTTGTTTATATGGTTTCAATTATTGTAAAAAAGGAAGTTTAGTATGTATGATATAAGAAATATGTTATTCCATTTGGTTAAACCATTCTCTCGTAATATGAATTTGAGTGAAAGAATTGATGTTCGGACTAGGGCGTACTACCGAGGCGACGCGAAGGAGCAGCACCCGGCCACTGCGAGAAATGGAAAAGGGTTGTTGCACCACAACGGGCCGGGCGGGTGCAACGTAAGAAGCAAGTCCAATGGATGGACTGTGTGAAAGATGATATGGTAAGAAAGGAAGTAAATAACGCGATGACTGCGAACAGGGATGAATGGAAGCGAAAAACATATTACGCCGACCACAAACAAATGGGATAAGGAAGAAGCAGATGATGATGATGTTATTCCATTCGGAACTGATGTTGATTTTTTTTAAACAGATAAGATTTGCTCCTGTTTTATAAAATTTTGTCTGTACGAATCAGTTATTAATATCTATGTATTTATAGTAAATAAAAATTAATTTATTCGCTTTTTTAATTTTTATAATATACTTATACCATAACATAAAAATATGTAAATAATAAAAAAAACTGGTAAACATGTGTATATTTACCAGGTGTTTTAACTTTTTAATATGTAAACAATGACAAATCTATTGATTTGTTTCCAAATTAGATAAACAAGAATTTTATAGCGTTATAGACTGTACAGTTATGTTTTATCTAGTATGAGATTTTAATTACTCTAGAATACAATTCATATCTATTTTCTAAATAGTTTACTCACCTTCATATTTTCATAGCCCATTTGAATTGCATATCAAAGTGTTCCAAATCTGAAACAATTTATTAATAGTTACGAACCATTTAAACTTAGTATTTATTTATATAATTTAAAGTAAGTAACTATATATTTATTTTAGTACAGATCATATTGTTCGACGATGCGTGCTCTTTTTCCATTTAAAATTCATACAAAACATAATACGTTAAAGAAAAAAATGAAATAGAAATTACAACAGTAACTTAAGTAAATATTACCTAAACATATTAGTTTATATAAGCTAAGATTTTTTTTGTATAATTACAATGGTAGACAAGCTAATAGACTAGCTAAAGGCAGGTGGTAACCGTCGCCTATGAACAGCATTATCGAAATCAGGTGTCATGTGATACCCGAGATATCACTAAGGCGTTACTATTCCGGAGTATATGTTATGAGTAAAGATTGTATTACATAAAGGGCTATTAATAATCTGTCGTGATATAACATAATATACTGTACTATATTTTTATTCTAAGCATATAATTTGTTTGATTGTTACAATTTATTGTGCAATAAATATATTTGAAATAACATGATATGACGATCTTAAGAAATAAATTGTATAGTGGCGGACTTATCCCAAAATAAGGGATTTCTTCTAGTCACTCTTTGAATAATGGAAAGAAATTGTAGAGTGGTAAATGTAGATATACATACATGACAATATTAACAACGGATAAAAGCAAATAATATTTAAATATACCTACATATAAATAAAATATTATTAGTAATGATTAAAAAAATAAATAAAAACAACAGAAATATATAAAAGACAATACTACTACACAACATAAAATAGTAAACTAATATCACAATGGCCATAGAAGATCTAGAAGATCTATCACTTACCGCTCGCTGGCTATATAGTCAATTGTTGTGCATACAAAGAAGAGAATAAAAGTGAAATATTGTTGAATTGAGAGCATTTTTGAATGACGAGAAAGTCTTTATATTTAAACTTTGTTTTGTTTTACTTAAATTAGGTTTTGCTCTATAAACCTACTCATCACACAATGAGTAATGGAAGGCACCATGTGAATTACCATCCATATTAGAATTTGACCAAATCACACAAAGGGTAGGCAGGATATAAAAAAGGTAAAAGATTTAGAGGAATAAAATAGATCACTAGCTCAAGGATTACTTAATTGAACCTTTAAGAACCAGTATTGATGGATTTGTCTTGCACTTATGTGGTTATCAGATAAAATTATTTGTTTATTGTTTATCTAATTATCCACCACACACATAAAACAATATATATGTACCGGCTTTAAAGTCCGTTAAATTTCTCAACCAATCAGCTATCGCTCTGAACAAAAATTATAGATTCCTTATAACCTCTGCTACGCACAATGGTTCATTATTAACCTATATTCTCTATTATTATTATTATATGAAGTCATGTAATATATCGTACCCTTAAAAAATAAATTCTCCATTCATTTAAACATAAATGTAATTTATGAACCGTGGAGATATAGCCGTGCAAATTCTTTATACCTATGTGGTGTTCAAAGGCAATTTTGATTAATGAGATATCTATCTTAGATTCATGACCATCATTATGACTTTATGGTGCTATAAAAATGGTATTCGCAGTACCTAATAGCTTCAATTTAAAATGAAATCCATAGAGTTGATTAACAGCTCTATTTATTATATTCCCTTGTGGTTATTAACAATCTAGTTAATTTCAACATAGTTCAGTAGTTATTTAAAAATGTATTTATTCCATAAGTTTACAAATTCTGGTTCTTTTTTACAATCGTTGTTGCATATACATAGATATATAATTAAACCCATACGGATTTCGTCAAATGAATGTCGGTTTTGTAATTAACTACAATATTTAGTATAGCTTAGAAATGTACGCAATACAAATATTTCATACATAAAACCCATTAAATGAAGTTTACTGTAAGTCAATTATGTTTGCATAAAACTGTGAGACACCTACTTCAACAAAAACACGTAATTTATTTCTGCCTCTATCCAACAAACGTAAACAATGTATCAGGATAAAAAAATCACCTATAAAATGTTCGTAAGATACAATGGAAGGAATAAAATTGTGTTTTCTTAGATTGGAGAGCGAGCAACGTCTCTCCTTACCTGAAATTTACACATGCGTGCTTCTTCCAACATTAGCTTTTCCTGTAGCTAAGTGCTTTTACACAAAATTCTCTTGTTACCCTACAGTTCTAACAGTCATTAAAAAGTTTTTATTACATCGATGTATTTTTTCTTTTTTCTTATGGACATTGAGTATGTTAATTATAACTTGACATAAACTAGGTCACGAGAATAGAAGAAAAAAATATTATAGAGCCAAAAACAACCTCTTGACCTTGTTTTTGGCTCTATAATATTTTTTCTTTTTACAAGTTTATATATTAATTTGTTAATCAAATATGAAAAATAAATGTTATTCCTGTGGGATAAGGGGTTGTTAGTAATGTTCACTGTTGACCCCACTACTAGCAACGTACCTTGTTAGCTTGACCCCCATGCGGATCCCCCTGAAAACCGTCATGATAAATTCCTGGTGAATTTGTCAGGATGTTCCAACTGACCTAACCTCATGTTCGTTATATCATCGTCCATTGATGTCCCGTCAGCGTTAGCGTAGACAGGTGTACCATTCGAATATTTTTTATTTTATTAAAATTAAAAAAAAACGTTTTAAGTTACATAGACAAGTTAACTTGACAACACAAGAAACGAAGTGTAGGGTGACCATCAAAGAGATATAAATTTTAAATGTCTGCTCAGAATGCCTTTAAACCCAAGCAACCTAATAGGTCCTGACATACAAAGCAGTAAATTCATTACTCAATTCATATAAAAAGAAATTAGCCTAATCTAACAAGTGCCAAATAGTGTACTATATAAGTTTCTTTATGATTAGCACTGAATAATAAAATAATAAAAAAGTAGATCTCAAAATTCCATATTTACTTGTAAAAACTATTAGATATTTTATGAAATACCTAACAAAAATATGTTGAATGTTATCTCCTATTATCACAGCAATGGATCGAACTGATTCTGAATACATAACCATGAAATTAAAGGTGAAGATAGCAAACGAGGAGATATTAAAAAAAAATGCTGACTATAATAAAAAAAATGCGTCCGTTTCTAAAATTTAGGACAGGTTATTAAATTCAGAGGCAGAACGAAGGCAATATCGGAAACTCATTAATAACGTTACAGGCTGCTTCTAATTTCATCGTGACTTGGGCATATTTTCTAAATGGATCAATTTTGTGGATATTATAACAGTACAAAAATAATTTCATTATGAACTTGTAAAATAAATCACTGGACAAATAAATCATAGGATTATAAGTTGCCATGTTTTGATCTGGAAATAATTATATATATTTGTCAATTCGTTATTCGAACCTTTAAATAAATCAGATCCAATTGGGCCATAAAAGTTGTATTTGTTAAGTATTATCGAATGTTACCAGCAAAACATAATCGTTTGGAACTGATTTCAATTAATTATTATGAATAAAAATACCCGAGATCTATGCATCGACCTTTACAATGATTACCGAATTTTACAATTAAAATCAGTCTTTTCAATTACGTTTTCTAATGATAACTATTACAGTTAAGTTTTAATAAGTCGATAGAATAGAATTATTAGTTTTACTTTATTTAAACTTTGTATAGGTAACTGTAATAATACAATCATTAAACTTTATCTTAATAAAAGATAAAGTTTAATGATTCCCATTAAAACTTTTTAGACATTTTCTATTTAAAAATTACATTTTATAAATGTTCTGCATTACTTAAATATTGTGATTACTGTTGGCTCTGGCCATTTTTATAACTTTATTGACATCTATTTTTTACCCGATACACACGATAAAAGAATAAACATATGTCGACATAAAAAATAGTAAAGTTTTGACAACAAAAGTTTCGATATGTTCGCAATATTTTGATATCTGACGTTTTAGATAATCCACTTACTTAAAAGTTTAATTTTTAATGTACTTAAAAGAATAATTTTCAAATGACCAATTATCATTTACATATATTTTCTTTAATTCATGATTTGACATCATATGTAATTGGAAAGATAAAATGTGGTGACCGTCACTCGCATGTTCACGATTATCACAAAATGTGTACTTTGTTACTACTGACTACTAAATTATTATATTTCTGTACTCGAAAATTTCACAGTCATATTTCATTTCAAATCAAAACACAGCTTATAAAGTAAGTAGCTGGCGATAATAATAGATGAGATAGAGATACCCAAGCAGACATCTGCATGTTTTTTTTTTTTTAAACACAATAAAATAATAAAATCGAGACTCGACAAAACTGTCTGTTGGTCAGCTTAACTTTTTGTATGTCAAAGTTTCATGTAAAAACTACTAGAGGGATTAGAATGAAATGTTTGCAGAATATGTTGTAAAAAATTGCTGAACATATAGGCTACACATATACGATATAATTGATTTTATTAATATTTTTAAATATGCCACCTTTATTATTAATAATTAATTATTATAAATAAATATTAATAGACGCCATTGTATACATTAAATCTTATTGTTATCGTTTGATTTAACTTCTATGGAAATTTATATATAAAATTACATGATTACGCAGTAGAGGATAGTACTATTATGAAAGGTTTTACCCAAAACTAAACTAACATAATTAATAATTATTGTTATCTATAGGATTTGTTTTAGTGTTCATCCCATACTTATTTATTTTCAATTTAGTATAATAGAGAATTATTATAAAACAAAAATTGTTGGGCATATGCAGAGCACTTAATAGTAATCACCTTTGACGTATCGATATAAAAAATGAATATGAACTGCAGCAGAATAATGTATTATTACTGCTGATATTCGTCTTTTTACGCTATAAACTAAAAAGCTTTTACTGAGTTTTACGGTTACTTCCACACCTTACCATTTCCAGTGATAAATTGCGCCGGTGCACGGAATTTGGGTCCATATATTC